TTATCTATTCAAATACTACGAGAGGTAAGAGTGGGACGGTGAAAATTAGACATTTTGTAACTTGTTTAATTTTGGGGCCTCATTTCTGATGGCCTTCCTAGAAGGAAGTTAAGTAAGGAAAGAGAATCTTAAACAAATGGGTAAAAAAAAGATTAGAATCCTAATTACTGTTATAAATACATTGAATTAAGTGGATAGTCCATAAGGTTGGTACATGAACAACCATTCATATTCACTAGGTGACATGAACCATTTTGGATAAGAATGTATCTATTTATTATGATACTTCGATTTATTATACCGTTGGTTAAGGGTAAGACATCAGGTAAAAGTCCGGATGCATCATAATAAAAATATTTGAGGATAAGACGATAGATTCAAGTTCTATCGCACCAAAAGGGTAAGACATCAATTTGAGATTTGATGCACCGTGATTGGGTTCAAGTCCCATAGAATTATGGCGTAAAACGCCTTATATGGATAAGACATTGAGTTTGAGTCAATGCACCATAATGATGATATAATGATGACTAGGCTTTGATGAAAAGTCTTGAAATTCGTTCTATTGAATTTGCTTCATTCCTTGAAAAGAATGTGGTAGCAACATGTAATAACTCTGAAATCCGCCTGTTAACTTGCTCCATTCAATCATATGAATGTGGTAGCAGTGAATGTTAGTCTGAAAGATGACAAATGATTAATGATATGAATAAGGGCGTGGAGGGACATAATTATAATAGTCATCATTGTGGTAATGATAAAAGGAAGAACACTATAAGTTCTTCAAATAGTCCTTCAAAATGTGAAGGCAATTTAAATAAATATGTGAACTTAAAGTTCAAGGGATAATTCAGTTGTATAATGTTGCAAATCAGTTGCCAGAGGAATGCACTGACCCTATGATATAATTCAGCTGCGAATGCTTCAATGTGAAGTTCTTGAAGGACAGAGTCTATGATACGCCGAAAGCGTAATAGACCAATTGATTCCAAATATAAAATTCCTTAAAGAAGGAAGGAGCAAATGATCAATATGGTCATGATAATGAGGCAAGTGCTATAAAAGAGCACATTGACATAACAATTCATAAAATCTTGAAAAAGGTTCAGGTACCTGAAATAATAAAAAATGAAGAGATCTCGATAAGTTATGTCTTGTTGGAATCGATATCAAATAACCGTCGACGGTATCTTTGATATGAGGTAGCGCTCAATGATATAAATTGTGATGAGGATCTTGAATTCAAATCTATCATATAGTGTGAACAGATAAATGGTTGACCAAGTAAAATGCACAATTCAAGTATATTTTGGTTCACTTAGAAAAGTGATATTTTGGACTGGTAGTCCATAAATCAAGGTATAATGTCAGTGGGGTACAAATAAATTATTATGCGATAGTATAATCGTAAGATATCAAATACGATTTGTGCCTTGGGGCATAAAGGTTTATCGCAAAAATCCTGACATTAGTGGAGATGTTTTCTCCTTTGGTGGATGAAATGAGTTTGTTTTGATCTGGTAACATATGAAAACTGGAATGCATGTAAATGAATAATTGTAATGTCTAGCTAGACAATGAAGGTTATATGAAAATCTTTGAAACAATCGAGGTGTCTGAAGCATATAAGAGTTTGAAAGAAACTTATCCAATAAAGCTTCAAGAATCCTTATATGGATTGAAATAGTCAAGGAAGAAAAAGGGTACAAAAGAATGACCCTAATTGTCCTTGTATTTTTATGAAAAGGTCTTGGTAAGACAAAATTTTGTCTTGACCTACAGATTGTTAATTTGACAAATAAAATATTTGTCTAACGGTGCACATACACTGAAAAATTTTGATGCAATTTTATGTGGATATATCACATTCATTGAGTACCCCAATGATTATGAGATCACTTGACATAAATGATGATTCAGTTTGATCTCAAAAGAAGGATAAGAGTTTCTTGGTGATGAAACTCTATCTTGGTGCAATCAGGGCACTAGTGCATCTTACTAACAATATTTGACTAGATATTTGTTTTGCAGTAAATTTACTGGCAAGATTCAGTTTCTCCCCGATAAAGGACATTGAAATGGTGTTGAACACATGATTGAATATCCTCAAAGGACCATAGTTATGGGCTTATTCTATTCCGAGGAATCCAAAACAAAATTGATTGGTTACGCAGATGCAGAATGTTTATCTGATCCGCATAAAGTTCTATCTCAATCACGCTATGTGTTTGCATGTGGAGGCACAATAATATCCTGGGGATCAATGAAGCAAATGTTGCTCTGCAGAAATAAAAGTCCTTTATGAAGCAAGTCAAAAGCGCGTCTGGTTGAGATAAATGACACACCATATTCAAGAAATGTGTGGTTTTTCTTTAAAAAAAGAATATACCAACCACAATGTACAAAGATTGGAGACATCATCACAAGAAATCAAGTGATGTTTTAATCAGGGGGAGTACAATACGCGTTGCACTCTTTTTCCCTTGATTGAGGTTTTTTCCCACTGGGTTTTCCTAGCAAGGTTTTTAATGAGGCAACAAATGGTGCGTATCAAAAGATATGTGTACTCTTTTTCCTTCACTAGAATTTTTTCCCACAGGGTTTTTCCTAGTAAGGTTTTAACGAGGCACATTATCTATGGACATCCAAGGGGGAGTGTTATAAATACATTGAATCTTTTTCCTTCACTAGAATTTTTCCCACAGGGTTTTTCCTAGTAAGGTTTTAACGAGGCACATTATCTATGGACATCCAAGGGGGAGTGTTATAAATACATTGAATTAAGTGGATAGTCCATAAGGTTGGTACATGAACAACCATTCATATTCACTAGGTGACATGAACCTTTTTGGATAAGAATGTATCTATTTATTATGATACTTAATATGGTAACCTTTGGAGTGATTTCTCACTCTATAAATAGGGTTGTTCATTCACTATTGTAATATATACATATGAGACTTGAATACATTTGAATAAGAAGAAAATTTCCCTTCTTCTATCTATGTCTCTTGTCTTCTTCTCTTTATGATTATATTCTTATGAGCTTGATTTTATAACAATTACCTTATATTATTATATCTGATACTTATATTTTATAAAATAAAATATTAATAATAAAAAAGAAAATTGCCTTACAAGTATGTGTAGTGTAAAAAAATATACACAGACAGTGCATTAAAGTTAAACTCAAAAGAAAATATGTAGAGGTTTGAAGATAATTTATTAATTAAAGAAATTAATTAATTTCTTCTGGGATAAATTTTCATTTCCAAGTTTTTAATTTTTTAGTGAAATTTCCTAAGGTTTTTTTTAGAGTTTTGCCTAACATTTTTATACTTTGAATTAAATTACTCAAACTTTTATATTTATAAATAAGTTTTATGAGAAAAAGATCGAAGATATTATACTATAAAAATATATGGTTAATATACCATTAACTTGGAATAACATTAACTATAAATATTACTACTAGCATTTATTAATGTGAAAATAGAGTCGTGTTTCGTAACTTATAATTAAGAATTGTTTGAGTGTTCTTGGGGTTTAGTGTGTATATGAAGTTGTTTAGTGTTTACATATGTTATATGATATTAAAAAATTATATTTTATAATTAAGAATTATTGGTGTGTATATTGGGGATTATCAGATATATAAAGTTATTTCAACCTATGAGAGATTATATTTCATAATTAAAAGTTGTCAGGAAATTTATTGGTGATTTAGTAAGTATATAAAATTTTAAAATAAGGTGTTCTATCAATTTTGTTCTTAAATTTTGATAAGAATTATAGTAGTACACGATTATAACTCACAATTCTTAAACAGGTTTAATAGTATATATTTGTGAGGTTGAAGAATAACTTGAAGGAGATAGAACTTCAAGTGTTAGATAAGTTTAAAAATCGGGTGGTTTAGGAAGGATACAACCCACGCTATAGAGATAGACCATTACGGAAAGTTATTATGAGCAGAAGGTATATTATGTAATGAAATAGTTATAATTTTAAAAATCATATTAAAAATAGAATTTAGTGTAAGAAAGTGCAATCAACCAACGTATATATCCTTTAACTGGATGAATTTAAATTTCATTAAAAGTAATACTCTCTCTGTATTTTTACTAATCCATATTCGACTTTGAAATAATAAATAGAGGATATTTTATCATATCATCTTTATTAATATAACATCGATCAATAAATAATGTTTCCTATTGCAAAATTAAAGTAGACACAAAATGGTCACTTATCTCTTAATTATTCAAATTAGACAAGTAAAGTTGAACAACTATTTTTAGTATATTGAACAAATAATGATGAACAGAGAATATTAAACACTTATAAAAAAAAATAAGACTGGAGTATGTATATATATAAGGCACTAGACAATTACTAAAAATATTTATCTAATTCAATTAACTGGTCCAACAAAATTTCATACGAGGTGAAAAAATAACAACAAATTATCCAAACTATAAAGTTGAACAACTATTTTTAGAATATTGAACAAATAATGACGTATGGAAGGAATATTAAACACTTCTTTAAAAATAGACTTAAGTATATACATATACGACACCAAACAATCACTAAAAAACATTATACATCTAATTCAATGGGTATTTCTTTTTAGCTCTTGTCCACAAAAAACACTAAGACAAATATAACTCTAAATTTGATATTGAATAACCCCTAATACTTGTAACCAGACAACCCTTTGAAGGGAAAACTTCCAGACTCATTGTCACATATGAGAAGTTCGATGATTTATCAGTCAATCAACTTTCTGGTGAGTTCCCTCCTCCACTCTACAATTTGTCATAGGCCTGTCGTAAACTACTTCTCAGGTAATCTGAGAAGCAATATCGGTGTTGCTTTTCCAAAAGCAGAGAAGATCAACTGGGGAATGAATTGATTCACTGGAATATTTCCAGATTCATTTGTCAATGCTTCAAATCTTCAGATACTTGATCTTCCAGGCAACAATTTTACTGGAAATGTACCTGCGCAAGTCAAGGAAAGGTGAAGAACTCAATGTGGCTCAACGTTAACGGTAATCAGTTGGCGAGTGGATAACATGAACTTCATCAGTTCCCTGGCCAACTGCAGCAACCTACAGTAATTGCTTTTGGCCCACAACAACTTTGGAGACATGTTTCCAAACTCAGTAACCAACCTGTTCACCCTATAGAAAAGATTACACATGGGACAGAATAGGATTCGAGGGAACATACCGAAAAAAATTGCAGACCTCGTGAGCCTAAATATACTTCACCTGCAAGAAATTTGTAGAACGGGGTAGCATTCCAGCATCTATAGGAATCCTTTCAAACTTGGGAACTCTCAACTTGGATTCAAACAGATTTAGCTGTGAGATCCCATCTTCAATAGGAAATATCACGAGACTGCTCTATCTTTATTTGTCTGGAAATACTTTAAATGGAACCGTTCCTCCATCCCTAGCACATGCTAATAACTCTTTTATGGGTTCCCTGCCAATGGAGATAGGAGATATAACAAACCTTGCAGGTTTTGACCTTTCTTACAACAATTTCTCAGGCATGATTCCAAGCACCATAGGCAAATGTTTGGCCTTGGAATTACTTTACATGCAAGGCAATTCATTTGAAGGGTCCATCCCGTATTTCAAGAAACAATTTATCAGGAGAAATTCCACCTTGGACTCTGAATCTTTCCTCCCTACTGTACCTGAATCTTTCAGACAACTATTAAGAGGGTGAGGTTCCCGTCCAACGAGTATTCTCAAATTCAACCGCATTACAAGTTGAGGGGAATCCCAAGCTTTGTGGTGGAGTCCAAGAGTTTGATTTACCACCTTGACCGAAGCAAGCAAACCATAGAACAAAGAGGAAGCGTCTTACACCCATTCTGACTGCAATTATCGGTGTTATTTTATTTGCTGCAATAGCATGTTTTCTGCTTTCTATGTTTTTCATTAAAAGATCCCAAAAAACAAAGAGATGCAACATCCACATCTGGGCATCTCATCTTCCCCATGATTTCATATAAGGAGCTTCATGATGCAACTAGTGGTTTTTCTTCAGATAGGTTGTTAAAATCAGGCAGTTTTGGCACTGCGACAAAGGAATTCTTCACTCATCAAATGAAAATCCAGTTGCAGTCAAGGTACTCAACCTCCAAAGACACAGTGCATCTAAAAGCTTCATGGCTGAATGCCACACCTTGAGAGATACCCGGCATAGAAACCTGGTGAAAGTCATAACTGTATGATCCAGCATTGACTTCAAAGGAAATGACTTTAAGGCCAGAATGTATCAGTTCATGGAAAATGGAAGCTTGGAGGAGTGGTTACATCAAGAATCAGAAGGACAAATACAATGCAATAGCTTAAACATTCTTCAGAGATTAAATATTGCAATAGACGTGGCTTCTGCATTATATTATCTTCATCATCAATGTGAAATCCCTGTGGTTCACTCTGATCTCAAACCAAGTAATATTCTTCTCGACGACGACATGATAGCACATGTAAGTGATTTTGGATTGGCCAGGCTCATCCCTAGTTTTTCTGGGGAAGGCAACCTTAACCTATTCAGCTCACTCGAAATACAGGGAACTATTGGATACACCCCACCAGGTAAATATCCTTTCTCAATTTTCAATTGTCCTCTACTTAAATCTGACAAATACTTCAAAACTTGGGTTAGTTTCAAATGCACGTTTTACAGAGTGAGTGGCTAATATGGATGAATACTGCAGAGTATGGCATGGGTGCTGAGGTCGCCGTAACAGGAGATTTGTATAGTTATGGGATCCTGTTTCTGGAATTTTCACTGGAAAAAGGCCCGCAGACAAACTATTTCAAGACAATGTGACTCTGCACCTTTTCGTCAGACTGGCATTACCAGATCAAATAATGGATATTGTTGACGGATTCGCTCTCTGTGGAGAAATGACAGGAGAGGATGCTAACAAGAATATAAGTAGTGAACAGATCAAGTGCTTGGTTTCTATTTTCCAACTTGGGCTAGCATGTTCAGCAGAAACACCACAAGAGAGAATTAACATGGAGCAAGTTTACAGGGAATTGATAATAATCAGGACAGGTTTCTGAAGTAACAGGAACACACTGCTAAGCAGTCCCTAGAAACCGCTCACAGAAAAGCTTGATTGAGTTAATAGTTACGAATTGTCTTATGTGTGGTCAATCTCAGATATCAACTTATACTGTACTTTACACATATGGCAGTAATATTTTTTTTCTCCCAGATGATAAAATACATCACAAAGCCCAAGCTCGTCCCATTTTATTATACCTTCAATCAGCAACTGCTACTCCACATTACTTGCTCATAAAGACATGATATGAAGCCGTATAGATTAGATCGTTAACACAGCAGTTAAAAAAGACATCATTACCGAGTCAAAAAAAACTCTTAAATCATATGACATCACAAAAGAGGAGCTCTCAATTTGGGCATCATCTAAAACAGTTACGTCATAACTATTATCTCATTTGTCTATTGTGTGGAACCAAAGCGCAATCGTTGGACATATAGGTCAAATATGAAGAAACTATTCATCTACATCTAGGCCAAATTTCAGATTAAGTTTTTGAGATAGCAAGTGAACAATCCTGGTAAAATAGAGATAGAAGCAGTGAAGTAAACCTCACATGTCCTCACAAGATCTCATCAAATAAATATGTATTGTTTCCAGATATAGCCCAAAAACAAAAACAAAAAAGAGGGGGATGCATACATTCTGACAAAACTACAACCAAAATTGGCATCATTCAATCCCTCCAAACCAGTTAGTTCTTCCTATTCCTCTGCTCACAACTAATCAAAGTCCCCAAAAAATAACTACACAGAGGCTCACAATTACTGTAGATTTCTCTGATCAATTACGATTCCCAAAACCAGAGAAATAAGATAAAACAGAAAAAACAGTGCTAACCAGCAAAGAACCTATTCTTAGAAGCCATAACATTGTGATGTAATCCTCATCATTGATCATTTGCTGCAATATTCGGCCAATCAAGAAACTTATAACCTTGAAGAGACAGTGGCAAGTAAGTTTGGGATGAGTTTGGATTGTCAGGAGGATAAATATAGTCCCTCCCATAATTAAGATCCTTCATTAGCTTAGTTGGTGCATTCCTAAGATGAAGGGGCACTCCTTCATTTTGACCAACAGATTCTCTTACCACTTTTTGAGCTGCCCTCATTGCTCTATAGACAGCAATAGACTTCGGAGCCAAGGCCAAATACGCAACACACTGAGCAAGGATAACATTGCACTCAGGCATGCCAATAAAATGGCAAGCTTGGTAGCAAGCAACAGCTTGGCCAAGAGCCGATGGATCAGCTAACCCCACATCTTCACTAGCAAACCTGACCAGCCTTCGTGCTATGTAAAGAGGCTCTTCACCCCCTTCCAACATTCTCGCCAGCCAATAAATGGAAGCATTAGCATCACTTCCTCTCATAGACTTGTGAAGGGCGCTGATAAGATTATAGTGTTCATCCCCTGCTCTGTCATAAGCCAAATGCTTACATTGCATTGCTTCTTTGACATCATCCAGACTGACAACTGCAGGCAAAGGAGACTCATCAGCATTTCCTTGTTTGTCCCCTGACTCCTTGTTTGATCCTCTAGCCATTCCCATACGTGCAGCAGCAGTGGTAGCTGAAATTTCCAAGGCATTTAATGCTACCCTTGCATCTCCATCACAGTTTGTTGAAAGAAACTCTATACATTCATCATTTACTTCAATTTTCATACTCTCTCCCATACAACAGGACAGCCCCTTATCAGAATCAGCGGCAGCCCGCCTGAGTAGCATAGCAATATGGTGGGGCTTTAAAGGATTGAGAGTCAAAACTCTGCACCTGGATAATAAAGGCGTAATCAAATGAAATGATGGGTTTTCAGTGGTTGCTCCCATGAAAATGACACTACCATCTTCAATCACCGGCAAAAAGGAATCTTGCTGAGCCTTGTTGAACCTATGAACCTCATCAATGAACAGAATGGTCCTCTTGTTGCTCTTCTTTTTCATTCTCCTCGCTTCGTCAACAGCTTCCCTAACATCCTTAACCCCCGAAGTAACAGCCGACAAAGAAACAAACCGGTAGGTACTTCCACCAGCTTCAGAAGCAGAGCAAGTGTTAACTATAGCTCTAGCAATGGAGGTTTTGCCGGTACCGGGTGGCCCCCATAAAAGTATTGAAGGAAGACGACCGCAATCAATGGCTGATCGAAGAAGTGATTTGGGTGCCAAAAGGTGATCTTGCCCAACAACATCGTCAAGGGTTCGAGGTCGCATTCGTTCGGACAAAGGTTCATGAGGGGGTCGTTTCTTTCCTTGTTCAGATTCAACTACTTTAGGACGCTTCGTTAGACGGAGTAAAGGAGGTTCCTCGTCTATTTTTCCCTCTTCTTCTTCATGGGTCGTCACTCCTTTAATGGGTTTAACCACTGATACGGAAGTGGGTGTGAGGGGTTTGGATTGAAATTGAAAAAATCGATCGATTTTAGGTTGGAACGGATGGTAATCGTGGGCGGCAGTAGTGGGAGACCCAGAGGAGGAGGAAGAAATTGGATTGAAATTGCAAGAATCTTGAGAACCCTTGTGGTTATGGCCGTGACTCAGAATCCACTCGGTGGCTTTGATGATATCGCCGCCGGTGGCCGTCAGTGCTTCGACGGCGATGTCTTCTGAAAAGCCCATGCTTACAAGCTGCTGTTCAGCCATGGTGTGTTTGTTCTGTTTCCCGCTTCCTCGCTCCGTTTGGCGGTATTTTGGTTGATAGAAAACGTACTAATTATTTACAAGCAAAATGATTAAGTACCATTTTCGTGTCTATTTTATTTTTATTAAATATATATTTTAAAATATTAAATTGAACAAAGTAGTATATATTAGTTATTATTTTTAAAAGAATATGTCGAATTAATAATGAATAATTAGATAAAATAGTCTTAGAAAAATTATTACTCTCAAAAATAATAAATCAAAAATAGCATAATAAGAAGAGAAAAACTACTAATTTGAAAAAAGTTATATTCTTTTAAATGAAAAAAGAAATATACATATTATTATAATTGAAAATTTTATATAATTTACCTCTTCATGAATAAGGTTTTACATATGTAAGAGTAATATATACATAACAACATCAATAATAGTGCGGCCAATATTTTCATCAAACGAATCCAAATATGAAGAAATAGATACACTAATTATTAACTAAGGGTGAGGTTTGATTTTATAAATTATGTATAACTAGATATTAACCACAAGGTGGCGCTGCCCCTCACACTAACATGGATTGTGGTGTAGCGTAGGATTAGGGGTCTACAAAATCGAATCAAAAATTGAATCAACTTGTAAATCGAATCAAATCGAAAAAAAGATCCGGCTAGTGGTTGGTTTGATTTGGTTTGGTATTTAAAAAGAATCCGATTATAATTGAATTGATTTGATTTTAACTTAAAAAAACAACCCGAAACCAGATCAACGCGACATTATATATACAATTTTAAAATTTTATTTTATATATAAAAATATTATTTTGATATAATTTTAAATATTTCTTATTTTTTTAATATAATTTTTATCTTTTGATATATTATTCGAAGTTTGAAATTTAGAATTTTGAATGGTTCCATAAAAGATTATAGTCCACAAACGCTGCCCGATGATAATTATAATAAAATTTAAATTAAAATCAAGTTAATATTGATGCAAAAAGAAAATCAATTTAACACTAAAAATGACAATAATATTGAATATTTGTTCTTTGGTTTTATATGATTTAGAAAATTAAAATACATAATCTAATTTTAATTTCCTTTAATATTTTAGTCATGTAACTAATACTTATCAAACTTATTTTAGCATGATTTAGTACTTTTAAATTATGATCATTTTCATTGTGACTTGTTAATTTGCAATATTTGTTTTATGCGATTTCATTATTATTATTTTTTGGATATCTAAGTGTCATTAATAATATTATTGTTTGTGTTATTTTCTCAAGAAGCACCTTAGATAGTTGTATTTCGGTAGGACTGAAGAAATATTTTAAGTTCAAGTAAATTATATGTTTGTATAAATACTTTACATGGAAAACTCAAAAAAATCGGAAAACCCGAGGTTGAAAAATTTGAGTTTTATCGGTTTGGTTATAAATTTAAAAATCCAATACAAATAATTTGATTTGATACTTGAAAACCCCAAATTAACCCAATCATATACACCCCTACATAGTACTTAGGGGTGTGCACTATTTGGATTAAACCGAAAAATCAAACCAAATCGAATCAAATTCTAATTTGGATTGATCTTTTGGATTTTTGGTTTGGTTATGGATTTATGATTTAGTTTATTTTCTTATGTTTGGACATCTATAATTGATATATTTTTGATATTGTGTTTTACGTTTTACTTGTGATTTATATTAAAAAGTATATTTAAGAAATTCAATATTTTATAACTTTGTTTTGTTTCTACTATTGACATAGTCGATTAACCAAATCGAAAAAAAATCAAATACAAAAGAGAAAAACCAAACCAAACCAAATTTATTATGGTCTGGATTGGATTGCGCTTCTTCAAAATCAAAAACTGAAAACTCAAACCGAACAGTATAAAATCGAACCGGAAAATCGAATGCACATAACTACTTCAACAAGGATTAGGGAATTGGGCCACTATTATCTTGGTGTTTGAGTGAAAGGGCCAAGAATAGTACTTGGATAACTTGGGCCTGAGCCCAGATAAGAGAGTTTGCTAGTCAAGTTTGATACAATTGGGCTGGGTTTTTGCAGATATAAGATCATTTTGATGTTGTTGATCAAATTTTGGAAAAATAATTATGGTGCTACACATGCATAACCCACCCAATAATATTGGAAAATTACACTTTCACAATTTTTAGGTTATAATTTTAGGACAATCTTCTTTGTATCTCTCTTAATAAATTGCTTACAAGTGTTGTCGAATTGACAAATTTTATCTTAATCATAGATTATATCAGGAAAGTGGATATAATTTTGACGTAATTTTCATTCTTTATATTTTGTTATACACTCACAAGCCATATCAAACTTACAAATTTTGTCTTGTACACAAATTATTTTGACCGGAGAGTAACTTCGATACAATCGTCATTTTATATGTCGTTGTTAAACTGTTCACATGTCTTGTCATTTTGATAACAATATTACCTATATTTCAAAAGTTAATGATATATATACA